TGAAAAGTCCTTGACTAGTGTAAGCACTGCTCAGCAACAACTAAAACATCGGTGTGTTATCAACATTGTTCTCATCCTAAATCCAAAACACAGCACTGTACCAGCTGCTAGGAAGAAAATTAACTCTATCCCAGCCAAAACCAGGACAAGAGAGGAGGGGGTGCCATGGGCAAACTGTCTTCCACCTAGCCCAGATTTGACCCAGGTTTTATTTAATGTTTAATGTGTGTTAATACTTCTTGCAAGGTCTTAATGTGCCATTAAGATCACTGCTCACTCCACTGAGTAGAAGCAAAGTTTTCTCCACATGCTGTGGCCCAGCCTGCTCCATAGCTAGCGCTGCTCTCCAAATCCTCTGTGCTAGAAATGCTCCCTTCTCCACGATTAGTGGATTACATCCTGCGCTGAAAAATGCTCAGGACCATCAGGTTTCTAGTTACTGCGGATCCAGAAGTGAGAGACAAGGGATGGTCAGCCAGAAATGCTGCTTTCTTTTTCTTTGGCAGTGATCAACTGTGGTGACCCTGGTGTGCCAGCCAACGGCATTAGACTGGGCAGTGATTTTACCTACAATAAAACAGTGGTGTTCCAGTGCACGCCTGGGTATATGATGGAGTCAGACAGGGCATCTTCTCTAACCTGCACGAAAGACCGAACCTGGAATGGCACCAAACCTGCCTGCAAGGGTAAGACTGGTTGCTGTAAATATTGGAGGATATAAGTTTTACAGGCCACAAACTTTTTGTAATTTGTGACAAGGTAATAGGCAGCAACTACTGCACAGTGCCTGGGGCCCACCTAGAAGTTTCTCAGTCCTGTCATTCAATCTATCTCCTGTGTTTATGGCGCTTACACAATTTTATCAACATAGCATGAACACCTTGCTATCTTTAGGTCTATCAATCATCACAATACGCCTGGGAGGGAGGCAATTGCTATTATCCCCATAGTAGAGAAGGAAAAGTGAAGCACAGAGAGCGAAGTGACTTACTCTTCGCAAAAACTCAGATCAAACTCGAATGAAATACTGTGTTTTGCAAGCACACGCTTTTTGGCATCATCTAGAAGTCTGAAAAATGTTTCTTCCAACTCCTTTCATTATTTCTCAGTTCTGAGATTGCCTCTGTAGTTCAGAGATAGGAAATGGAAATAATAGAGCAGTTGCAGGACAGGCTGAATCTCTTCTGCAAGTGTTTTACTCACCCACCAAGTGTAGATAAGGCTTGAGGCAGCATATGTGTGCTTCTTTAGCAATCTGGAAAATTCACCTGTCATGAATCTGATATAAATGCAGACCACATAGAGACTTCCAAATATACTCCAGTTCCTTCAGAGGCTGTAAAGAGCAATTCTTACACTCCTCTCTCATTTTCTCCACTGAGCTAATGTTGCAGGAATAATACAGAATGTGGCCAGAGTCTCATTTGGAGGCCAGGCTGATTTGCATGAGCTTAACATCTTTCCCAGTGCTCCCCTGAGCTGAAAAGCAAAACACTGCAAAAATGTCATATTAAAACACCCTAGAGTAGATGAAATACAGACCGGTTGTTGATTCAACTGGTAATCTGAAACTCAGCCAGGTTGTCCAGAATGTATGAATCTTTCGGGGAATCTTAGATGAGTTTTCACACTAAGTCAGGCTGGATTCTTACCTTCAGTTGGAAATGAACACCGACTCAGAAATCTGACTTTGAGATTTGGGATTTGGTTAACCCCAAACTTCAAAGTGAAATCCTGGGGTTTACAGCTGCACGCACAGCTGGAAAAGTTTGTACAGCCCCCTGCTAGGCCAGTCCCAGGAGGTGCTCTTTGAGAGCAGAATAGAACTTTGATCCTACATGCATTTGCTTGTTAATGGAAATAACTATGCTGAGAAGTCAAGAGAACTGAGCGTGCTTTTGTTTTTCGTTCAGCTATCATCTGTAAATCCCCACAAGCCATCCCCAATGGGAAAATCGTGGGCTCAGATTTCAGCTGGGGCTCCAGCGTGAGCTATGCCTGCCTGGAGGGGTATCAGCTCTCCCTGCCCGCTGTGCTGACCTGCGAGGGGAACGGGACTTGGAGTGGGGAAATGCCCCAGTGCTTCCGTGAGTAGGCAGCCGTCTACGTGTTCACGCATGAATTGGGTGGAGGACTATGATTAAAACCCAGTTGTTTGATGCTCTCTCTCTCCAACATCTCTCGTCTCCATGTAGCTGATTTTAGTGCCAGCTCTGCCTTGCCTGGCAATATCATAGAGGCTACAGATTGACTATTCTCAGTATGCGGGAAGTTAAATATCTGGTTGCTGTGCTTCCTACCCCTAAGTCCAAGGGAAGTCTTGCATTAACTGAAGTCAGTGGGAGTTTTGCATGCCAGGAGAAAAGCATGGGGATGCTTCGAGTGCCTGTAGCCAAAAGTCTGAATGTTCTCCCCACCTCAGCAGCCAAATTGCTGGGAGTCTCGGTTTGCCACCTCTGTAACGAGGAGGCAGTAGTGGCCATGGGGACGCAGTCAGTCACTCCACCTCTTGTAACGGAGATGTGAGGTCACGTTTGCAGCAAGTCTGAAGATCTTGCGTGTTCCTGTCCACGAGGCATCTTTAAAACTGGCTGTTTGTCCGTGTGCCTCCCTAGTGACCGAGTCTTCTGCAATCAGGGCTCTTGAAACTGCCAAAGGCCGTAGGAAAAAAAACCTTTTGGTAAAGGGCGCTGTGTTATTGCAGCAGAAGTTAGGAATGTTTTGTGAAGGCAGAGCTTTGGCTGGGTGGAAACCTGTGTGCTTGATACAATAGCTAATGCAAAAAAATTAGTTAAACGTCTCATAATGATAAAGGCAGATTTGAGTTTCTTTTCTTGGCTGAATGGCTGGCAGCTGCACAATAGCCATTTTCATATTAAATCATACAAAGCCCTCACTGTGTTCCTTGCACCTTTCCCTGGATCTTGTATAATTAGTGGGCTTTCTGTGTGACATGGAACCATGTAGCAATTTGACATCGTGCAATTAGAGATACATTTTAAAGCTAAGCATGCCGTTAGGAAAAAAAAAAAGATGGGGGAGAAGGTGGAAGTTAATTAACAACAATTGACAAAAAGAGAGAATTACAAGGAAAGTAGCCAGCAACGCCTTCTGCTGCTACTAATTCCCTTGTCAATCACAGAGTTTGATGGCAGGGAGTGGTAAGGTTTGGGCCATTAATAGACCCATCTTTAGCTTATTAACGTTGCTTGCTCTCGAGGAGGTTCATCGCAATCCACTTGTCTCTTTGCCTGTTGCAGCTGTGTTCTGCGGTGATCCGGGGATACCTGCTCAAGGCAGGAGGGAGGACAGAGGCTTCACGTACCGCTCTTCCGTCTCCTTCTCCTGCTTAGCCCCGCTCGTGCTGGTGGGATCAGCCCGGCGGTTCTGTCAGTCCGACGGGACGTGGAGCGGGACCCAGCCCAGCTGCATAGGTAAGGGGAGACTCCTCTGTCTTGCATCTACAAGCAAAGAGCTTTGAGTTGTCACTTTGCTTTTCCATTTGTAGCAAAGTTGGTTTTATTTTCTGGGTTTGCAGAAATTAGCACTTCATTTCCCTGAAAATCAGAATGTATAGGGATGATGCCTTCGGTTTGTGTGTACTAGCTGGTGGTAGACAACCTGTCTCCTTCTCTTGGGGCATGCTGCTTAGATTCAGCACCTGTCCCTGCCCCTGATGGTGGTCAATACATAGTGCCTCTGAGGAAGACAATCTCCTCCCTGTTACTGCTCCTCAGCGCTGTGCTTGGGCTGCCGGTGGGCAGGAGGGAGAAGTTCCTCTGCAGAACTTCCAGGTTAACTTTTGCAACCTGGGCCGTAAGGTTTGAGGGCTGTGTGAGAGCCTGCGGAGGGTAGCGCCACGCAGAGGTCCCAAAGGCTGGTGCTGCCCGAGTTACCTCTGGGGCTGGGGACGGTGGCAATGCACCAGTGCAATGCTGCGCCTGCACTTGTGCCCTGTACTGTGCTACCGCTGCTACACCCTGGACAACATCAGAATTGTTGTCTTTGTACAGTGCTGCGCTCTCGTCTCTGTGCTGCTTCCAGGCTTCCTCAGGGATCTCCAACCCAGCACGCCGCTCTGCGGAGATGCACAGTATCACTATCAGTGATGGGACTGAAAATGCAATTTGACTGCAGAGAGCAGCCATGGGTTGCTGTGGAGGGGAGCTCTTCTGCTCACAGAAACCAAGCAAAACCAAGTTCTGCCTAAAGGGTGCACGTGAGAGCTTATGTTCTCTGCTGCCTTTGAATTATATCCAGAATGGCAGAATAGCAGCTCCTAGAAGTATGAAAGTGCTGTATACAGAGATCAAAATCCCACAAGTTGCTTTGCCTAGCTGCAGTGTTGGGATTCAGGCTGAAATTTCCACACATTCTTCAGGTGCCCATTTTCTGGGGCTTCCAGAACCCTTTGATTATGCAGCTCCCAGAGGTTTCATAATTAGTCACAGCATTCTCCACCTATTTAAAACTCTGGCTACATTCTTGAACTCCAGGGCTCCTGTGGTGATAAACTGCACGGGATATGTGCTGTTACCTTAACTGTCTGCCTGAACACCACCATCATCACCTTATGTGGGCATCTGGGGCAGAAACAGATCTCAGGCTGTTCTCCACGGTTTTCAATCGTTCTAGCTACATCTTAAATGCATCACCAATTACAGTAATGTAAAAGTACTCATGGCCTGAACCTCCAAGTTTCCTATTGATTTCAGTAGGAGCTTTCTCACGTACAAAGAGTTGGGAGCACCTGCCTACTGTTGTAAATACTGCCTTTAAATGCTTCATCACTTTCTTGCAAATCCTTGTCCAGGATCGTATTGTACGTGCCTGGCACCCAGCCCTCCAGAGCCATCTATGATTGAACCCAGCAAATACAGCTGTTCGTGCCGCTGAGGAAATGTACTTAGAATTTGTCTCCTCAAAACAAACTATGGGAAGGGAGGAGACTTGTGTGTCTGCAAAACCCTGACCCGAAATGTTAGTTTCTGACACAGGCAGCTGAACCCAAAGTGTTGCCTTTATTCAGATCTCACCCATTTTTGAGACATGTTAGATTGCCAGCACCACAGACCCCCCCAGATGCAGCCAGGAGACCGAGGCTCTGCCCTCCACCCTCTGCCATCCATCACCTGCTACCTCATCCAGCAGTGGGGCTCTTTATTTATTTATTTTAGACGCTGTGATTTATCTGGGGGCTTCCATGGAAACTGCATCAGTGATAAATGACAGAAGCTCAGCAGAGACAAATGACGGAAAATGAATTAGCTTGTGTGCTGCAGTCCCAAATCAGCCACACTTTGTATCCCTTGTTTAGTTACTCGCCGCAGCTCCAATGACCTGGGGACGACACCAAGTAGTGCATAATGTTTCAGTGTGAAGAGGCCGAATTAGTCAGATCATAAGGAACAAAGGCAGAACAGTAAACCACCATGCCGTTGGGTACAGAAGTTGTGCTCCGTTGTCCTATAGCTGCAGGCTATAGTGACAGGCCACTTCTGTCCCACCGCGTTGGATTGCGGAGACTTTTCTTAGTTTACTTCTTGTCTTGCACAATCCTGTTAATTGGAGTATTGTGAGTAAGCACAGAGAGGGATTTGCTGTGGGGCTTATGGTCCTTCTCATAGCAGTGTTGAGCGTGCTGAAGAAAGAAGGCTGGGAATCCAGAGCAGACTCTCATTTGATTGCACTGAGATCCTGCGATGCTCCAGCTCCCTGCTAACGTAGCTACCCCTGGCCAGGGACCGGAGCATCCCTGTGGCCAGCATTGCAGCTTAGCTCAATCCTGTGATCCCAAGGAGCAGGGAACCTGCTGCTGCTGAAGTGCCTTTCAGACAGAAGCTTCAGTTTCCTTTGCTTAGTTTGGGATGCTGATATTAATGTGATGCATCTCTGCCTTAATCCCATCGATGCCCTGCTACTGTCGACATGCTGGGGGAAAAAAAGAAAGTGATAGATGCTAGAAGAGTAGCAGCAGGTATCCCTACTGAATCGTGTGTATTCATCTTCTGATAGATTGAGAGCAAATGAGGCGTAAAGAGAGATTATGTATCCGAGATGCATTAAAATTTCCAGCCCCCATCTATCACTACAAAATAACGAGATGCGAGCGACGGCCAAGCTGCGCCCAGAAGGACAAAGGCGTTGACCCAGGGCACGGGAGAGGACAGGGTCACCACAGCCCTCGGTGCAGCGGGTGGCCAGTGGAAGCGGAGGGCACAGCACTGGTGCTTCGCTCATCGTGTGTGGAATAGGGGAAGGGAAGAGAGTTGTCCCTGACACAAGATTTATGTTCTTTTTCTCCTGGGTGATAAGAGTGCCTCTGGTTAGTTTGCATTGCAGTAGTCAGGGATTTAAGAAACAAAAAGATCCATGTATTTTTCCTTGTTGCTATGTATTCCTTCTGTAGCAAAATATTTCTGTCTTGCTGCAAAGGCACAGCACAGTCTTTCTGTGTGGAGAGCAGGGAAAGGCAGAGCTCTGACATGGCTTTCACAACTGCTCCTTTAAAACGCCGCATCTGTTCTGTTCTTTTAAGACCCCAGCCTCACGACGTGCGCGGACCCCGGCGTGCCTCTCTTTGGGATGCAGAATAACTCCCAGGGCTACCAGGTACTGTCACGGCAGTGGGGTCCCCTCGGCTGCGCCCCGATACTTGCTGTAGTTAGTCCGTGTCTGAGTCCTTACATGGATTAATGTGTCTTCCCATGAGCAGGACATCCCGGTGTGCTCCATTAGACCTCAGAGTGCATTTGTATGGGATTAACTAGAAATGCATTATTTATGATATTAATTACAGTGCTAATTAATAGTTATTAGTGTAATTAGTATTCACATTGGAGACATAATTTTCATTCATTTTCAGACCAAATTCTGTAGGTGGTTTTCTTAATCTTAGCTCCCATACAGTATGAAATTGGTGGAAAGCAGAGAAAAAAACCAAAGCGATTCCCCAGGGTGCTCCATCTCCAGCCTCCGCTGCTGTCCCCGCTGCCGTCCCCGCGGGTGCCCATTCCCCGCTGTGACAGAGCCGGGTGCGGGGCTGGGATAGTTAATTCCATGGGTCTACTCCTGCCAGAGTGGATCTTTCGGTTTTGCTGCTAATTAGTTATCTTAATCCTGAGTTTTAATGACTTAATTCTAGTTTTTAATTAACACTGAGACTCCGTAAGTCTGACTTTTGTAAGAGTTGCCAGTCTGAGAGCTGCGCGCTGTAGTGGAGCCACCTCAGGTGCTCACGCAGGGGATGAGGTGGTGGCTGGAGCAGAGAATGTTACGGGGAAATGGTGCCTTTGGATGTGGTACCCAGGGGACCGCAGCAGCCAGCTGAGAGTCCAGGAGCAACTGTCTGATAAAACCCGGCTGCGGGGTTAGCGAGGAGGTGGCCCGCATGGTGCGGCCTTGCTAGGGAGGATCGGAAAGGTACTCAAAGCCCTGCTTGGCAATTTTATTCTAGTATATTCTGGTTTTAAAGCAAATCCAGTTGCAATAACGGGGCTTGCAGCCTGACAGCATCATACTGCCGACCTGTCTGAAGCAGGGAATAAGCTCCATTATATGATAATGGTTTGGTTGAAATAATAGTAATTTGGTTGAAACCAAATGCAGAAAAGTGGATAGTCTGCAAAAAGTAAGCATACCCCCAAAATGTTGAAAAGTCAGTTTTCAGGTTTTGTGATCCTTTTTGCTATTCACAATCCAAATTGGCGCTTATAATACAGCTACATGGCTAGATATATAGCTACAGGATGTTTGTTGATACTAGTTGTATTGAACATCCCTTTTGGCAAAAATTTCCACCCGTTCTAATGCATCTATGTTTGATGCTGGCTTTGGGTATATTTAAAAGACAAAGCAGCCTCGCCTCTATCACTAAAAGAAACAACTCCCTGCACAGTTAAAGGCCGCAGCTTTCCAGGGGCTCTGAGAGCTTTCTCGACACCAGACTCTGGCAGGGCGGTGAGGGCAGAAAGCAGGTGGCTGCCCTCTCCAGCATATAGAAGATGGAAAATTATAGAAGTACTTTTGTATTATAAGCATGGGTGAATCACGTTGCACTGGGAAGTTCAGTGGTTTATCTCCTATTGTAACAGGTGGGAAGCATCATCTTTTTCAAGTGCCAGAAGGGATACCTGCTGCAGGGCTCCACCACCAGGACCTGCCTCCCCAACCTGACGTGGAGCGGCGTACAGGCAGACTGCGTCCGTAAGTCTTGGGAGAGGTTTTGTCAAAGGAAACTGGTGCCTTTAACCACACTGTTGCCTTGTTTTGTTGCTGTGCTTCACCATGCAAATTGCCGGCTCTGAAGAGCTGGTAATCTGGGGGGGAGCTCTGAGAAAACGTATCCTTGAAGAAAAGGGAGATCACACAATCACTTCTCTCCTGACATGACTACACCAGCAGCCGCTTCTGATTTCAGATGAGATTTTTTACTTGTCCCTTCCTCAGAGACATAGTTTCAGGTGAGACTTTGTTTTGTGCTTCTGAAACCGCATTTGATGGCTGAGATGTGAGCTCGCACTCCAGGGACCAGGGTTAACATTTAGCCAGAAGGGCTCTCCGACAGAGCAGCGTTTCTCCTCATCTTTAATAATGTGTTGCTCGCTCTTTTAAGCTGTCCATCATATTTTCCTTGCTACACCAGGAGGAGTTGAATTTAATCTATTTGAGTGGTAATATCCATCATAATATCAAAAGTATTAAAAACCTTTTTCCTCTCCCTTGTGAGGTGGTTTATTGGTGAGAGATTTTTCCACTAACAAACCCTGTAGGCGCTCGTTCTGCGAGCAGCCCAACCGGGGCACCCGCCTTTAAAAACTCCTACATGTAGCATCAGGGGAGAGGGGAGCGGTTGCTCTGGAAGGAGCTGCCCTCCCCTGCTGCCTGCCTGGGTGGTGGGAGCGCGTCCCCACATTCACAGGCTTCTGCTGAATTGGGAGACTGCAAGGATGCAGCAGCAGCTGTGGCTGTACGTGGGATTTTGCTCCTGGTGCTAGGTGCATTGAAATAGAAGATGGTTTTGGCTTACCCGTGCCAGCAAGGACTACTGAGTTGTTGCCTTTAGGTTTTTTTGTAAAGCCTTCTCCATCCGCAGCGTGGAGTCGGATGCAGTCACTGCTAATGAGTGCTGAACTGTCGCCTCCGAGCTGGGCTGCGGGCTGGCAGCTGGGGCTCCCAGACCATGCGAGTTCGGGTTAGTCTTTCAGCTTTCTGGGTTTTATATTTCATCTTCTGTAAAACAAGGATGAAGATAATACCTCGTGAAGGCTGTCAAGGATTTGTTTTCATTCATGAGCAGTTTGAGAGCTACAGAAAGGGCAAATTTACAGTGTGGGTGAGAGGGAGCTTCCCGGCTCTGTGATTTATTTGTTTTGTGTCGTAACTTCTCAAGGAAAGTGGTGACATATTTACAACAGGACCTGATAGAGCAGTGTGGGCACACGCTTGCTCTGATGGCAGGGAGCTGGACAAGCTCAGCTTCGATTTCTGTGGCCAGATTCTGAAAGTTATTGAGCAATTACAGGAATTTATGACTATTGCATGCTTCTGAGGACTTACCGTGTGATCCTATGGACAGGTGGGTGCAAATTATTAGTAGGACAGTGGTCCTGTGAACAGAGATCATACAAAAACAAATCTATAATGCACTCACTGGAATCACCGGCTTAACTTACTGCGTCTTGATGTCCTGTAAAGGCAGTTTTCAGTCCACAGATATAACTGGGACACAGTTCTGGGGTAAGAGTTCAAAGGAAGAAGGAAGGTGTCTTTAGTATCATTTGGTTTTGACTTTTTTCCCTTAAAAGGTGGGGGATGGCAGAGCCTGGGTTTCAGTTCATGGAAGCTGGAACCAAGTGAAGGATCCCCCGAGAGCTTTAGCCAGAAAGAGCAATCTAGCCAGCGAAGCATGGGAAGTGGTCTCATTAATTCATCTGGCTGGCAAAAATCCAGGCATGGCATTGTCTCCCTCAGTGAGCAGAGAAAGCTTTTGCTGAAAAAAGTTCTTCTAAGAGATTTCTGTCCTTGCTGACGTCATGGTGTCACTCTTCTGCCTTTCTGTGTACAACTGGATGGTGTCTCTCATCTCTGTTTTCCTTGTGCTTTTCAGCTCACCACTGTAAGCAGCCGGAGACCCCCTCCCACGCCAACGTCGGTGCTCTGGATTTGCCATCTCTGGGCTACACCTTGATCTATTCCTGTCAGAGTGGGTACTATCTCACCGGAGGATCTGAGCATCGAACCTGCAAAGCAGATGGCAGCTGGACAGGAAAACCACCTATTTGCCTCGGTAAAAGCTCTGAGCAGCGTGACCCTGGTTTCCCATTTGCCTGCGCCTCTGCGGAGGGGAGCATTGCAGCCCAAGAGAAAACAGCTGTTCTCCCAGACCTCCACGAGGGTGTTTGCATGGCTGAGCTGGCAGTAGAGACCACAGCTCTCACAGGGTCCTGTGCAGCTCCCAGGGGAGAGGCAGCTGGGGGATTTTCTGCCTGATGGTTTGGATCTAGAAGTGTCTGCACGAGACAAAGGTTGTTCTTTACCTCACACACCTTTTACCTATCTCAGAGTCTTAGATCAATAAAACGTAGTGGTCTATTGAAACAGAGCTGCGTGGCTCTTGTGCAGCATGGTAGCTCTCTCTGGACGCTTTGGTTTGGAGCAGGTGGCAGGGGAGGACAGTAAATGAAAGCTTCGTGCTGTTTCAGTGAGCTGGGCAGGACCCTGTCCAAAGCCCTTGTACACAGGGACGTGCAGCCACGTTACGTGTGTGAGCAATGCCGGCCAGAGGCCGTCCTCTCTTAGCACCAGCACAGTAGAAGTGTCTCAACAGCGTCAGATGCCGCAGTATTCACCGGCGGTGGTTTGCCCCTCTCTTTCAGCCGATGTCCGCCCCAGCGGAAGGCCGGTTGGCACCGCACGGGACCCACCGCTCGCCAAGGTGTCAGGTACCGTAGCAGGGCTCGCTCTTGCGTGGGACACGTTAGTGCTAGACCTGGACCTTACCAGGTCCATCCCACCCTGTCCCTTCCCCAGGGCAGCCAGAAACCCGGCTGTTCTTGCAGGTCTTGAAACCGCTGGGCTGGTGAAAGCAGTCCACGTGCCTCATCCTGTTCGTGCTTCACTGGAGAAGGGACAGGAGCCTTACAGGAGTCGGGCACCAACATCCACTGCCCTCCCCAGGGCACTCCAGAGACTGGAGCCCTCTAAGATGTCTTACATTAGACCTTTTTTTTTAAAAAAAAAATGTTTTTTGTTAGCTTTTCCTAAGAAATTATTTTGAGGGTTGGTTTGTTTTTAAAACTTTAGAAGCATTTTTTGTCAAAACAACAAAATTAGTCATCAGCTTGTTTGTTCTCCTCTGGTTTTGTACTCAGTGATAACACAGAGAGTGGGTGGGATTTGAGGTATTTAAATACGTATTTGTGAATTCAAAGAAAGAAATAAATTTGCTCTATTTTGATTTCTGAAAAACGGAAGTAAATGGCAATGCTCTTGTTCTTCTGCATCCCCACTTGCTGTGGTTTCTAGTGCCTGCTGATGTGTTTGCAAGGAATTCCCTTTGGAAAGGCTCCTACGAATACATGGGGAAAAAGCAGCCTGCGATGCTGTCTGTCACTAGCTTCGACCCTGCCACCAGTAAAGTCAATGCCACTCTGATAGACCACAGCGGCGTGGAGCTCCAGGTGTCTGGTAAGGGAGCTGACATGGCCATTTGTAGGGATTTACACTTGTAAGTGGTCTCACAGAGCGAGGGGCAGCATGCTCTGCTGTATCGATCATGTTGATGTTCTGATTGAGCTTTACAGAACCACCCAGGTTTGAAGTCTCCAATCTCTGATTGGACCAAGACAAATAAAATATGTACCTGAGTTTGCTTTGACTCTACCTGAAGGGCAGCTGAACCCAGTCCATCATCCATTCCCTGCATGCTGGAGTGGTGGACTTGTAGTCCAAGACAAATGAGTAAAAGTTGTGAGTGCTCCTTGTCCCTGCCCTCCATGGAACACCAGATTGTTACTGATCCAGCAACGTAACCTAAACATTAACAGTTGAGTCTCTTCCCATGCACAAAATGTCTTTAATATCCTGGGGGGTGGACATGGGATTATGTGTTTGCGGTGTGTTTCCCGGTGCGTCCCACTGATAGGGTTGGTAGGAGGAGTCCACTCTAAGATGATGAGGTGATTTCTCTGCTCTCAGGTGGAAAGCTAATTGCTTCAAACTCAGAGTGTCATTGTGATCTAGTGATGAAAAGTCACTTATTTTTCAGGCATTTACAAGAAAGAAGATGTGCACCTGCTTCTCCAGGTTTACCAGATAACGGGGCCAGTGGAGATCTTTGTCAACAAGTTCAAAAATGATAAGTGGGCTCTAGATGGACATGTAAGTGCCCGGGCACCTCATACACAAAGTCCACCCACACAACTCCTCCCGCTGCTGTCAAAACACCAGCTTTTTTCTCGCTGAAGCTGGGGGAATAACTCCCTTAGCTGGTGGCAAGATGAGGCTGCTATCCTCCAGTCACCTGCTCGCTTGAAGGGGACATAGGGCATTCTTCCAGCATGCGAGATAACATTACATGACAGTCAGCTCTTCCATGCTCCCTTGCAGCTGTATGGGTTTTTTTTTATTGCCCTATGGTTTTAAATCTGTAAGGCTTCCAGATAACGCTAAAGGAGAAACCAGCATGATTCGTTCCATTTTAACATTTTATATCTGTTAAACATCAAGCTAGAAGAGCTAATCTTCCCTAATGGAGTCAACTTCTCACCTCAATTTCTGTGTCTGGTAACTTCCCATGCCCTTAAGAGATCCACTGGAGCTTACAAGAAACATGCGTCTGATTGACCCATGGCCCGTTGTAGCCCAGAGCCTTCGCTATCCCTGTTGGATCAGCAGTGTGTTCTGTAGTTTATTGCAAACAAGATTTTTTTTTTTCCTTCCTTTGAGATGTGAGAGTCTTAAGTTGTTGGGCAGCCAGACTTATTAAAAAAATGCCCTGATTTAATGGAAAACAAAAAACAATGAACACGAACCAGAAACAGGAAAGAGGCTGTGACAGGATGGGTGCTAAAATCCCAGGGAAGTGTTCAACAAATCTGTTGATCTCTGGTCTCCTGTCGTTGCAGGTCTCATTTCCTTCCTTTGAGATGAGAGAGTCTTAAGTTGTTGGGCAGCCAGACTTATTAAAAAAATGCCCTGATTTTCTGGGGAATTGAATTCAATTAATGCTGTGCATGAACTTGAAAGAGGCTGTGACAGGATGGGTGCTAAAATCCCAGGGAAGTGTTCAACAAATCTGTTGATCTCTGGTCTCCTGTCGTTGCAGGTCTCATCAGAGTCGTCAAGTGGCACGTTTGTGTACCAGGGCTTTGTGCGTGGCAAAGGCTTCGGGCAGTTTGGCCTTCAGAGACTCGGTAAACTTCCTCTGATTACTACTTTTCCCCTTGATTTCTGAAAGCTAGATTTTGATGGTAGCGGAGGTTTTCAAACAGGAAACATTTCTACTGTCCCTGGCTTTAATTTTATAGCTGTTTTTGAACAGTCAGGTTTAACTTAACCCTTTCCAGCTCCCCTCCGCACATCGTTCATGAGAGAGCTGGCAAAACCCAAACCAGCCACTGGGGTAGAGAAGCCGGGTGCCCTCAAATCTCTGTAGCCCAGGGGGGTGGGAGATGATCGCGTCCGAAACGGCTTCTGTTTGTTCACGTTTGAGGCAGAGCGGTGCCGTGCTGCACGGGGAGGAGAGGGTCCCCATTGCCTGGCAGCACTTCCACCCTGCCCGTTGCTCCTTTCCCATCTCCAGTTCCTCCCTGTACGATGGATGCAGCTGCTCTGCCCTGGCTTGTGTTTAAACACTGAATATATTGAACACTGGATATTCTGGCAAGGGGGGGCTAAGCCCATCCTCAACTTGGCTAACACAAGATTTGGGGGAGACAAACACCACCAAAATTTTTAATTTGGGAACAAAGTGAGGCATTTAAATAAACAGGTTTCTATCAAGGACAGAAAGAGTTTGGAGCCACAAATAGCACCTGGACCGTGTTTTTTTTTCTCCATGTTGCCAGGTGTCTGGCCTAAAAGCCCAAGTCCCATTGCTACCACAAAAAGTGTCTCCATCTCACTTTCAGAAATCTCGGAGGCACTTGAGGGCTTAGACGACCCAAGGTCTAAGCTCCTAAATATGTCTTAAAATGTGGCTTGAGCTCTTCGATCTCTTAGGGTTTTTGGAATCTGACCCTGGAGTCTTGTCACCTTTATGGAGAATTAGATGCTAATTATTGCAGCCTTTGAAAGTCTCCCTTAAAGCCTAACTTTTAAGCATCCAAATTTGAGCATTTTGGTAAGATAAATCTATTTACATCTCTCTTTAATTGTAGTTCTAAATAAATGATGTTGTCTAAGCTAGGCTGCATCTCCAAACCATTCTTCATGCAGCTCAGAAGCTTTTGATTACCTTTTACAGCAACACTTGTAACCATCTTGGCCTGTTGTTGATAATGTAACCCGTATCTCGAGCAAACCCCATTTCCCTCAGCGGTGTTTTGAAATGTGTTTACTTCTGCTCTGTTTCAGACATCAGCATGATGGAAAATGATCCAGAATCAATAGGACACCATTTTGCATCAAACAGCAGTTCTGTGGCAGCTGCCATTCTTGTGCCTTTCATAGCCCTGATTATTGCAGGGTTTGTGCTTTATCTCTACAAACACAGGTAGGTTTCAGGAACGGTGCCAGTAGGTGAAACAAACTCGGGGGACTGACAGAAATATTTGTGAGCTTGCCTTAAAAGCACTCCCCCTAGACCTGGCTTCTCATCTAATTCAGAAGGTGAAAAAAGAATGGAGCAAGCATGCGTGGAGGGGCGAGGGTGTTAGGAGAAGAGTGTTGAAGGCTTTTATGACCGTTAAGATTTGTGGCAACATTAAGTAGGATAAGGCAAAGTAAATTTCATATTTCAGCATTCAAGGTGGCTTTGCGTCTGTTGTAAATTAGTTATTTCTCCTGATCAATGCATTGCTGTGGAAATGTTGCTGCGCTGCAAAGCATCGTGCAGACTGGCCGCTCTGCGCAGGGAGCACTTTTAGGGCTGTAGCAAAGCCCAGGGAGCTGCCTGCGCTACAAATCTATAGCAAGATTTTTCTATAGGTCCCTTCTGCTTTATCCCCAGGTGTTTACCCTCTTCAAAATTAGCTTTTTCCCTTCCAGTGACTTCTTGTCAGGGCTGTTCAGCTGGCTACAGCAGGAGTAGCCGTGACCTCTCTGGATTTTCTCTCTGACATCCTGCAGGAGAAGACCAAAAGTCCCATTCAATGGCTACGCAGGCCATGAAAACACCAACGTCCGAGCAACGTTTGAGAATCCTATGTATGACCGAAACCTGCAGCCCACGGACATCATGGCCAACGAGACGGAGTTCACAGTCAGCACCGTGTGCACAGCTGTATAGCACCCGTCCCCGCTGCGGTGAGTGGGCAGAAAGGGAGCACAAGAGTGGGACAGTGCCACCGCTCTCCTCATGTTTGTCGCTTGTAAAATGCTGGGTCGAAGCAGTGGTTCAAAGGAGCACCCCGAGTGGCTCAGATCGCCCAGGAGATCATCTCTGCCCAGGGCAAGACCCAAACCAGCATCCCCATCTCTGGGTGTCAGGTGCTCACTGCCAGCTGGGGCGAGACCTCTTGGGCACCAGTGGCAAAGCAAATCCAAATAGCCCTGTGGTGAGAACAGTGACCAGCTAAAGGGAAAAATGAGTCTCTAAGAGAGATCATTCACTGTGTGACTCCAGACAGGGTGTTTTGCACAGTGATTGGAGGGGAGGGTAAAGCAAGGGGTTTAAAAGTTTTACTGCACAGGCACAGAGAAATAACTTAATGTTATAAACAAAAGTACCCCGTGGACTTTGAGTGCTGCTAGACTGGAACGTTCTTAGTTTGAGACAACGAAGCCATTGCAGGCTTTCCCAGCATTTCTGTGTGTAGTAGCAAACTGTTACCTTCTCTCTGTGCATTCCTTTCCTATCGTCCCAGATTCCACCGGGGTCGGTGTCTAGTGGATGATTGTGTTTCGCCTCACTAGTCTTCATCCATTCCCTCCCCATCTCCCTCCTTCCAACCTTGTTGAGGCTGTGGAGAAGCTGCTACACCTCGTTGGACTTTGTGTTAACTCCTGAGAGACTGCTGGGTTGCCCTTTGTCGTCCTCACCCACCCTCTCCATCCTGCCGTGGATAATGAAGCCAACCAAAGGTCTGCTCCGGCACAGCTCCTCTCCCCCACCTGCCGGTGGGTCTCAGCCCAACGTCAAGACCCGGGGAAGTGGAGAACCTGGGAGGCAAGGTGATGGGAAGGCTTTTACCACCTGTTCTTGGTTACGTGTTCCTGGAGGGAGCAGTGGGGTATGTGGGGTCCCACCAACTGCCCCCCACTTTTGGGAAGAGCTTGGACCACAGAGGGAAAAAGCAGGTTGCACTGCACAAGGTGCTGGCTGGGGTTAATGGAAAATACCAGTATGGGACAGGATGAGTACTCGCTTTGTCTTTATTTGGTTTTGTGGGTTATTTCTTTGTTGTTTTTTCTAACCCAGGGCTTTTGCGGAGGAAGACTTTTCAAATGGGACCTTTTCAATGAGAAAAGCGAAACTTTGCAAACTTTTCTCCTCTTCCCCATATTTAATTTTCCTTTGGCCATTCTTGCTGGGTTTCTTCTGCCCCATGTTCCTTTCAGGCAGCTCTCAGGGCTGGTGAGGAAACGTCCCCCCATCTCTGGCCCCCTCCCAGCAGCTGCCGATTTTAGCTGTGTCCAAACACCCTAATCAGGAAATTGCTGACAGACACGAAGGGACAGAAACCTCTTTACAAAGAACTCTAACATAAATACTGATTTCCCCCCAGTAGCATTCAAAAGCCTTTGCCCTTTCCATATTGATCCTCCAAATGGCAATGCAATAAGAGTTTTAATTTCTATCCAAAGCTGTTCCCTTTATTTCCCAGGGGCAGAAAGGTTGCCCTGGCTTTCATGAGAGCAGATAAGACGGCTTGACATTTTTCCTCCGTTATAAGAGAATGATGCTTTTGTGATGACACTGTCCTCCTCTAATAAAGAGGAGAGCTGCTCTTGTTGATTCGGGGTTTTAGTCTGCTTGGTTTGAGTCACTGTTTCTTAGGCCAGGCTGGAGTCAAGGAACACAACAGTGCCATTTTACCAACTGTAAGTCAAGTGAAATACAGCTGGTGTAGAGCAGTATGTGTCAATGAAGCAGCTTCTTCTTACAGAAGACTTGAAGGGAAAACAGAATTAAAACAAATGGAGCGGTGTTTACATCCATGCTTGCATTTAAACGCTGGCTTTCCCCTACCTAATGTCAGCTGAGGTTTTGTCTAACGAAAATCCACAGGGTAGTTTTTTCTGTTTTGTTTATTCTTTTATTCTGTGTGTGTGCGCGTGTGTGTATATATAAAAATATATATATTTTTTTTTTACTTCTGTCTCTTATTCAGCACTCTTAGAGTAAGCAGCATTCTACAGCCTAATTGCTGAACAGCCAGCCTGCCAAAAAATGCCATCTCTGCTCCCCAGAGCATGCAGAGGTGCTCTGATTTATTCCTGAGAGGTGGGCGCGAGCCAGAGCCCTGATCCAACACGGACAGAAGTCAGCGAGATGCTGCCCACGTGGAGGTGGGCACACAGGTAGCTCAGGGCCAGTGCCGGACTGTTGGAGAGCGTGTCCTGCAGCAAGCCGCGCTCCCAGCTCATGCCAAATACACAAACAGGCAGAGATGGTTTCACTTTCCAGCTGGTTGTGGGACTAAATTCCCTGGGGTAGCCAGGCCGGGCTGGCAGTGGTGCCTGCCCCTCTCTGGGCACCTCCAGCTTGCGGGACACGGACTCCAGAGCAAGCTGAAGGGTAAGGGAGAAGAGGGGACCCTGACCGGACTGCGGCGGCACTCGGGTCTGGGGCCAAGGCACATCTCCCCTTCAGTTGAGCGGCTGGTGTAACGAGACCAGGATATTCCCCCGGTTCCTTTGCTTGCGTCTGCAAGTAGACGGCTGGTTCCTACCTTCAGGTCTGCTCTCCTGGCCCATATGTGATCCCAAGGGTCCCTTCCAACCTAAATTATTCTGTGATTCGTGCCCTTCGCCAAACCCACAGCCCAAACCCACAGTTCTCCTGGCCTTTGTCCAGCCCCCGTAACACAGCCGAGGGACCAGGCTCCCTTGCGTAGCAGATCCCAAAGGCAGCGCCATTTTGCAGTCCCTGGTGCTCCGGTGCCAACGATTGCAGTATCCTGGCTCCTCTTTCAGTACCCAAAACTCGACCACCTCGCAGTATCCCGCAACAGCAGACCTTGAATCTTTCCAGCCGCCTGTCACTGAGCTCAAGAAAAACCTCTCCCAGCTGCGAACGGAGCCGAGCCCCGGGCACGCACCGAGCAGGCTGGTCGGAGCGGAGGGCAGGGATGTACACACACACGCACACAGCAACAGCAGAGCCCACATCTGCTTTTCAGACCTTTCTGAATCCTCTTAATCAGTGGACTAGCCAGGAGAAGCTTGCGTTAAGGTGTGTAAAATGAACCGGAGACATTTTAACACCAAGGCAGGGAGAAGGGAGGCTCTACTTAAACAAGACTTGCTGCTTTCAACCCATTAAGTACCATTTTCTGCTGTTGCCCAAGCAACAAAGGAAGTGGGAGGGGGTGTTGTCCCATTTTTTTGCAAGCTGGCTGGGACCCAATACATGACATTCTTCATTCTTGTGCCCAGAGGACTTGCATTATGTTTAAAAAAAAAAAAAGGGAAAAAAAGGAAAAAAAGGGGAAAAAAAAAAAGAAAAAATTAAAAAAAATCCCTCTTTTGTACAGAGATATATTTTTATGAATCAAAAGTTTGTACAGTTAAAAAACACAATGTAAATGTTTTTTCATTATTGTAGTAAACAGTAGTGGAAGATCAGCTTTTTTTTGTAAATGTAATAAAATGTATAAATATGGTTTACATAAAAGTGTAAATATGTAATCTATACATACACTTGGCTTGTCTGCAGTATATACAATTTAATTTATCTGTCTCTGTATATGAGGCTTTTCATTGTGTCCAGGCATACTTTACTGAATTTGAAAGCTATTTTAAATTTTTGAATTAAAATAAAATATAAATTTTTGCATTGCTTTTCTTACATTTTTCTGGTGCCTTTTTCATGAGCTGCCAAAGGTTTCTTCTAGGATCCGCTGGATGCCGACCTGCACACGTGCATGCGCGAGGATGGCAGGGACAAGCCTGCGCCCCCAGGCTGGAGGCTCCTGACCCCCGCGTTTGGCCCTGTGCCCCAGCTGCTCGGCAGCACGTCCCGGCTCTCACGAAGGCACAGCAGCAGTAAATGGTGGAGGACTCAGGCGAGATCAAACCCCTTTCCCCATCGCCAGGCTTTTCCCTCCTGCCCCAGGGAGCCCGTGCCACGCGGTGCCCGTGGAAGACAGCCCCGATCGACAGCCCCGATCTGGATGCGGTCTACGCTGTGTGGCTGGCAGCAGGCTCATCCGCAGGGAGCTAAACCAAGCCGACATCCGTCTGCCGTCCCTTTCGGTGCCCTCCTCTCTTCTCACTTGCTCTGCGCTAATGGGATGTGATGTTACTCCAGCTGTGGTCCCACCCCTCCAGCAAGGAACCGATGCTTGGTCTGCCGGGGAGCTCACGGATCTGGATGCGGTCTACGCTGTGTGGCTGGCAGCAGGCTCATCCGCAGGGAGCTAAACCAAGCCGACATCCGTCTGCCGTCCCTTTCGGTGCCCTCCTCTCTTCTCACTTGCTCTGCGCTAATGGGATGTGATGTTACTCCAGCTGTGGTCCCACCCCTCCAGCAAGGAACCGATGCTTGGTCTGCCGGGGAGCTCACGGATCCTCTGTCACGGCAGATCAGCAGAGCCCCTTTGAAAACAGGTACTTGAACAAGATCCTCAAATAAACAAACAAAACCCTTGAAATTGTGATTTATTTCTCAACGTTGCTACTAAAAGAAAAGAGGGCACAACTGCCCAAAGTGAGACCAACTGCCAGTAATGTCTCTCTTGATCCAGGTCTGGATCACGTTGGTTTTTAAGTTGGAAATTAATTTGGCAGAGAACTTTCTAGTTGGAAAGGGACGTTGGATACATTGTTACGTGTCTCCTGTCATGCTTTCTGAGAGTATCTGAGGTTGCAGAATTTTTCAGTGATAAATAGGGGCATTTTCATTTCTGGTTTCCTCAGTGGAGCTTGTCGACATGGTTTTGCTCAGACCTGGATTAAGCTTTATCGTAGGGGTTCCCGCGCCAGTGGTTTTCCTACTGCAGTGTTGGCTCAAGTGTAACACCTTCTGCCAAGCAGGGTAGATGTCACCTTGCTGCAGCCCAAATAGGAAGCATCGGCTTCTGATGATAGTCGGAAGGGGAGCCTAAAGCGTCCCACGGACATCCCCGTGCAGCTCAACATGTGAAACAGGCATGCCGGGTAGGGTCGTGGCAGCTCTCGGTGGCCCAGTGCTCCCTCCATGCCCGAGGTCAGGAAGGTGGGAATGATGCTGCTTAGAGTGACACCACGGGGTGACAACCTCCAGTCCCTTCTCCCCTCCTCTGGCTGGGACTCCAAATGAGATCTTTTGGAGCTTAAAAGCCAAGACTGTAAAATGAGACATCTGCAACAGGACAAAACTTTAATCTCTTCGAGCCCTAGAGAAAGGCGCGGCCTGACCACAAATTAGTCATTTAATTGCTGCAGCAATCAGCCTGTAAGAAAGAGCTCCGTGCCCCTGCCAAAACGGTGCAGTCCATCAGTCCTTGGGACCGTGTTAAAAAGCTGCTCGTTGAGTTATTGCAGTTCCCATGTGAGATGTTCCCACTTCTCCACCTCATCCGTGTGGGCGGTGGTTCCTCCTCAGCTGCCCGGGCAGGGCCAGTAGCAGCCTCCTTGCTCAAGCCCGAGTCCGCGTGGTCCAGGAAATAATTACTTGTCACTGCCTCCTTCCAGAGCACTGAGCTAATTCCCCTCTATAGGCAAAATTGCTGCCTCCTTCCAGAGCGCTGAGCTAATTCCCCTCTATAGGCAAAATTCATTATTT